CCCGGCTCGGCGTCCGGATTTCTCGCCTGTCCCAACCTCGAGCCGCTGCTTGGCTACCGACTCGCCTCGGCCCCCCCGCTCTCCGTCTCCCCGCCACCCGGCGGTGCCCTCTTCCTCGCCTGCTCGGCAATCGACTACCCGACAACCGCGGGCGGACGCTGTCTCCGGCTCGAGACGAGTCCGGCCGCCGGCCGCATGCCCACAACGCCCATCGCCCTGTCCGGCCTCGTCAACCACGACCCGCCACTCGGTTGCCTCACACCGCCGCCCCCCCACATTGCAACCACTCCCGGACAAGCCGCACTCTCGGCTCTCGCCACCCCCTCGCACACCGCCTCCGCCTCCGCCTCCGCTTCCGCCTCCGCCTCCGCCTCCGCCTCCGCGTCCGCGTCCGCCTCCGGTCCCGGCTCCGGCTCCGGCAGTGGCGGCAGCAACTATTCCAACGCGAAACCGCCCTACTCCTACATCAGTCTCATCACCATGGCGATCCAGCACTCGTCGGCCCACATGTGCACACTCTCCGAGATCTACCAATTCATCATGGACCTGTTCCCGTTCTACCGGCAGAACCAGCAGCGCTGGCAGAACTCGATTCGCCATTCGCTCTCCTTCAACGACTGCTTCATCAAAGTGGCGCGCAGTCCCGACAAGCCGGGCAAAGGCTCCTATTGGACGCTGCATCCGGAGTCGGGCAACATGTTCGAGAACGGTTGCTACCTGCGCCGGCAGAAGCGATTCAAGGACCCAAAGCGTGAGGCCGTGCGTCGGTTGAGCCACCGCGACGTCTCGGGCGCGGCTAGCGCAGCCTCTGGCGGTCTGTCGTCGTTGCGCGGCGGCTGTTGCCCAGGCGACCAGAGCGGTGGCGAGGAGCTGCAGCAGGAGGCGCAGCAGCGCCAGCCACAGCGACTAGGCGGGCAGCACAACGAGGAGGTGGAAGAAGAGGGTGAGGGTGAGGACGAAGAGGAGGAGCAGGAGGAGGAAGAGGAGGAGGAAGAGGAAGAGGAAGAGGAAGAGGAAGAGGAAGAGGAAGAGGAAGAAGAAGAGGAAGAGGAAGAGGAAGAAGAAGAGGA